ACCTATTAAGCTAAGGACTCACTAATATATGCGCGATAAAGATGCCCTAAATACACACAGAACAATTGAGGCCTAAGTTACCTATAAAGAGGGAACATAGTGTTCATGTACTGTTTCTGGCCTTCATTTTGTAAGATATTTCGGGTGCGTATGATAGCGACAAGAGCCACAATGAGAGAAAACATGCATCCACCCAAGAAACCTGAAACATAATTTCTCATAAACACAGAGAAGAAATTGACAAACAAAGTCAGAATATTGAGACTAAGTATTATTATGATTCTACCAGTGGAGAATGTAATTCGGTGTCTCTCTCTTTTAGCTTTTGGTCGCAAGATGTTCATTCCTTTTGTTCTATTACCATTCGTGAAATGCTTTATGAATGTAGTTTCAACATGCTCTGTGAGTATCATTACCTATGAAAAAGAGAATCAATATAATTAAGGTCGATATTACAAGAAAAATATATTATAGCTGGATTCGAAACTAAGAATCTCTTATCAGACTTACTTCATCAGAGCTTCCAAGGTAAGAGTTATCAACCATTTTCATGTAAGATTTAGCAGCATCCCTCGAAGTTATCTGTATAATTAATGACACATATAACAGTTTATGGGAACAAAACACATGTAAACTCCTAAAATCATAATTATCCCCTCTAACCAAATCTTACCTTATCATACTTCTTCAATATCTTCGAAAGCGCCAACACATTCAAGAAGCTGCATATATATTTTATTTGAAATTTTAATTAAGTCCACCAATCATAGAATTCAAACAAATTTTTGTGCGGTTATGAATTGTTAGTTTCAACTAAAAACTAATTGACACTAGTGAACATGCACATTTGCTTTTATATATTAGTTTTGAATAATCTTCGTTTCTAACTGGGGATATTCAAACATTATAATACATCATTGTTCTCAAATGAAAATACATAAAATATGTTCACCTATAGCTCTTGAGGAACCAAAGCTTCCGATGAAACTCGACAAAGGCACAACTTAGCTTCTCCTCAATTTTCCTTAGATTATCTCTGCTGAATTTGAGCTCTGTCTGATTCGAGACTTTGAGAACGCTCTTAATAATGGATTGAGGCATTTCTTTCGTGTTGTTGATCATCTTGACGAAATTTAGAACCCCGATAGGAGCCGGTCTTGCAGCTTTCATCTTGCTCATGTCACACTGTTTTTCTTTTTCTAGGTTATTGTCATCTTCATCTGATGATCGACCAGCCCTACTCGAGCCTCCTTCCTCTATGGCCTCTATAGCCGGAACTTTCACTGCAACCGAAGATCAGATAATTGAGTATTACGGTTTCTAATAGTATGTAAGATGAATAGCAAAGTAGAAGACGGGCTGAATCATGAAAACACAAAATTAATAGTTTGAGAAAACTAGGAAACTTAAAAAAAAACGTCAAAAACTAATTTAATCTTTTTACATTAAAGAAAAGAGAAATAATTTTACATTAATCAAGTTTTATCAAAATATTATTAATGGTATGTAACATTTGGAATCGTGTTTTGAAAACGTAAAAAGAATCTATATCACCTTTATATATTCATCTTTTTCGAGTATAAATTCCAAACCAAAAGAGTGAAAAATTTTATTTACGTAAAGATATGGCTTTTTTATTTTCAAAAGAAGGAAAGAAAAGTTTGGCTTTTTTTTTTTATTATATATATTTCTTGTTTTGATTTTCAAGAAGATGGCTTTATTCTTCAATAAAATTTTGGTTTGAATTCGAATTAGGTCTTTTTAGATATAGTCTATAGAACCAAGCCAACCCAATTAAGTTGGTTTGGCTTATTGTATATATTAACATATTTTACTTACTAGATGTATTTTTGGCGAGCTCCGCCGGAGAAACGACGACGTGTGAGGCCGAGCGAGACATCTCCGCCGTACGCTCCTCCTCCAACTTAAACGCCATTAAATTATCCATCTGTTTGTTAAGAACCATAGCTTCTTTCACCACCTCCTCCACTTTCTCTCTATAGAATTTCTCCACTTTGTTAAATTCGTCGTCGAGTCGCCGGAAAAACACCAATTCATACTCTCCTCCTTTCTCCTCCGTCATCAAAAACGTCGTCTCGTAACCTTGAGTCCCCGTAGAAATCACCTGAATCGCCGCCGCCGACGATATTCCATCCTCAATATCGACCACCGTCGAAGAAGGGCTCGTCTGACCGCAACCGCCGTGTATCCTTAGACCGCCGAAAACGCGGTTTTGAGTCGCCTTGGTTCCTTCGCCGTGAGGATTGGGTTTGCGTTTGAAGCGGTTGATTTCTTTGATAAGGGTTTTCAGATACTTGTAGTCTACGTAAGCGTTTTGCCACTCTGGCACTATTTGTGAAGAAAATTCTTTTCCGAA